GCTCGGTCGCGCCGCGTGGTCGTCAACAGCCTCCTCCGCCCTGCACAGGTGTTTTGCGGCGCGAGTGTGTTTGTGTGTGTGTGTGTGTTGGCGCGGCGTGAGGTTGCGTAGCGTTGCAGGGCAGGGCTAGGACCGCGAGGCGCGGCGTGGCGGCGGGTCGCTGCTGCTGCTGCCCACGCCTCGAGTTACGCAGCCAGTACGGCGCCCAGCCCGTCGCTCCCCCCCTCTCTCTCTCTCGCTCTCTCATTTTCTCCTTCTCTCTCTCTCCTTCTCTCTCTCTCCATCTCTTTCTCTCTCCTGCCCAGCGCCCCACACGCGTCCCGGTGCGCCCGATGTGCGATGCGGTGGTCCTGTCCCGGCCCGGGCGGTCCCCCCTTCGGTCCCCCCACGGTCCCCAGCGGGACCTGTCAGGGGCCGGGGCGGCCACGCCAGGGGCCAGCTGTTGGCCCCTGCCTACTGCTCCGCCGCGGCGTCGACCACTGCTTGCCGCCCCACCACCGCCACGGCCTGCACGGCCTGCAGTCGCGCGCGAGCGCATGCACATATGTTTTGGGGGTCGACTCCCTCCCTCCCGCGCTCCCACTCCCAGCTCCCGCTCCCCAGCGCGACGCCCACGCCGTGTATCACGCTCGGCCCTGGTAGGAGAGCGATCGGGTCGGTTCGATTGTCGCCCCGGCCGGTCGACCGGTCCGCCGCGCCCGGCCCGCGCCAAGCGATATAGCGATGTATTGGCGGCTGCTGGTCCGGTTGGCGTACGCGACAGCCATAGGGGCTCCAAGGGCACGCGGCGGACTACCCGCGGGGCACGGCCTCTCCCCGTCTCTCCCTCTCTCTCCCTCCCTCTCCACACAGGCCCACACAGGAGCGTGGCGCGCTGGTATCAACGCACGGACAACGATCGCCCATCGCAAAAGTACCCACACTTACCTCTACGGCAACACACATCTGCACGTTTTTGGACCATCACCCACTTGCTGTGCGTGTGCAGAGCGTGTAGGTATAGGAAAGGTACACACGTTTTACAGCCCCCCCCCCCC